ACATTTGCTAGCTAAGCTAACTAGCCAAACTCTACGATTTATTTGCAAGGTTTAGTGCATTTCTGTCATGGTACATGTCTGAAATTTAACTCATAATGGCCTCAAAAATGTCCTTAATAAACCTTAAATTTGAGTTAAAACCTGCAGCTAGCTAGCTTTGAAAATGTGTAAAGAAGCTAGCTAGCTTTAAAAATGTGTAAAGAAGCTAGCTAGCTTTAAAAATGTGTAAAGAAGCTAGCTAGCTTTAAAAATGTGTAAAGAAGCTAGCTAGCTTTAAAAATATGTAAAGAAGCTAGCTAGCTTTGCCCTTCTTCTTTAGTACATTTCTGATGTGATACAGGTTTTAAATTTAATTCATAATGCTCTTAAAAGGTCTTAAAATGTCTTACATTTGTATTAATGTTCACATTTGACACACGCCCACAAACACATGGGAATTAAAACTTAATCAGAGATACGTGAAATCAATGCTGGCAGCTCTCAGTGCCAAACGTCCCAGACTCATTTAGAGGTTCAAGAGAAATTTGTTTGAAGTGTCTTTTCAGAAAAATTGCATTTTATCCCTGAGCACTTAGAATGGACAAATATAAAATAATTGAAATTGTGAGCATAGATCTCTGAGATGGCTCTTTATTGCTTTCTTTCTGCTCTACAGAGGCCACAAAAAGCACACACAAGCAAAGCCTGGATTAGTTGGTAATGGCTGGCATCAATATGGCTCTAATGTCGTTTCATGATGCATCCTGATCGTTTCTGGCCAGGCAAAGAGCGCTCCCCAGCTCGCTTTAATGACTCGCATGTCAGGAAAACAAATGTTATTACTCAGCGTTATTAAATATTGCTTTTATTCCTGTGACAGCAGAGAGTCGGGCGCAGTCAGCTGGTTTCTAACGTATTTCTCCGCACCAAATCAAAACAGGCTGATTTTATTTCCGGTGATAAAAATACATGACAGTTTAAAGTATATGAAACTTATAGATTTATTTGTTTTAATTAGTGGCGGGTACTTAAATAATAACTCAGCTTTGCAAAACTTGGTCATTAGTGAGATATTTTTACAAAATTTAGTTATTCTCTCTGCAGCAGATCAGGCTGACTTTATTCTATCACATAAAAACAACACAATGAGGATTAAAATAAAATAAATTAATAAGCCAGCAGTAAAACCCACAGAACACAATCACCACTATAACTTTGTTTGGGTCACTCTAGCAAAAAATAATAAAAACAACATAAAAAGTCCAGGAAGTTTTTGAGTAATGGAGAGTAGTTTTATGTAGCTGCTTTTCCAACCAGCTGCTAGCAGGGCGAACGCTAGAAAGATGTTTTCATCTAAAATGCAAAATGTATAGTTGTACAGATTTAATTACTAATCAGAATATGTTGTTTTTGAGTCTGTATACTTTAGTTAATGATTAATCAGTAACAAAATCAGTCGACGATTATTTCAGTAATCAATTAATCGTGATTAACTGTTTCAGCCCTACATGAGGTTGTTTTAAGTCAATAATTCCTTAAAGCTGCAGTATCCAACTTTTATATAAATATATTTTTTTCTTTTACAAATTTGTTTAAACTCATTATGCTGTGACTGTATGGAATGAGACATATAATCAGGAAAAAAAACTGAGATTGTCATTTCCCAATGCTCAAAGCGCTAACTAGAAACAACCAATCAGAGTCAGGAGGCAGGGCTTAGCGCTGTCAATCACCCTCCATATAGCACGCTGTAAATGCTAAGGCTAGTTAGCATAGCTGCCAACGGTGGCGGATAAACATTTTTCCTGTAACTGTAAGTTGTTTCTCAGCCACTAGCACATTTAGCAATGTGTTCATGAGGATGATTGACAGCGCTAAGTCCCTCCTCCTGGCTCTGATTGGTTGTTTTTTGTTGGGAGCAGTGCAGATATGTAAAAAAACAAAAACTTTCTTTTAATTATAAAAGTTTCATACTGCAGCTTTAATATTGATAAAAAAAAGAACTCCAATGGCAGATAACTTCACCTATAACACGGGAAAAATGTGAAATAAGTTTTTAGTGGCACTTTTACTGACCTAGTTTTATAACTTCAATGAAAAGTGGTTGAAAAAACTCCTAAATTTAGGAAAACAACAATATGCAATAAGAATCAGACTCTAATCTTGCACTGCGGCCTCATTATAACTTTATTCAGTATAAAATATTAGCAACATAAGAATAAATCATGTCGTCATTATAAAAGTGGACAATAGGAAGGTAAATTTGCTCTAATTGCTGCTCACTTTTTCTCGGCGCTCGCAGCAGTCAGAAGGTCACCGCTGTCATTCGTTACAGCAGATGCATTAAAGCCTTTGGAAACTTGTCTGACAACCAGTTATTAAAATGGACGCGGTTCCTCTGAGAGCAGCCGAGGATTTTGGGTAATGAGGGAAATGGGCCCACAGTGTCCTCCAGCTCAACTCATCCTCCGCCGGAGATGGATGGCTGTCTGCGTAACGAGTCGTTGAGGAGCAGCGTCTCAGTCTGCCCTTCGCTCTGCTGCACGGCTCGTCCTGGAGAAACGCCACAGAACCTGGAGGCGTCATTATCATTATTTATGCCCCATTCAAATGCCCATGTTGAGTTTTCATGTTTCTGTGTCTTCATGCCAAAAGAAAAGAGACGGATTCCTTCGTAGATCTGAACAAGATAAAATCTTAAAGATTCTCTTTGAGCTCAGAGTCACTGAAATATTTCTCTGCCATGGAAACTGGGGCAGAAACACATCAGTGGGGAAAGTTCTGCTCCAACTATTTCTTTAAAGCCGTCGTTCTGCTTTGATTCTGTCAGGATGCAGCAGAAAGGAGAAGAAGAAGAAGGAAATGTGTCATTTCAGAAGGTCAGAAGGTCAAAGGGCAGCGTCACTCATTCCTACCACTACCAGAGCTATTATACTTCACCAGTTAGTTACATTTACTCAGTTATATTTACTTTAGTAACTTTCCTTTAAGTACTTTTGGAGTATCTTGTTTTTACCTTTACTTGAGTAATTGTATTATGAAGTATCTCTCCTCTTAA